AAGGTAGCAAATGAGAGATGTATGAAAACCGACACGCTTTGCCCTCTGAAATGCCTATTTACTTTTGACAAAAGAAATAAATAGAAGCAAAACCGAGATTCAGAAGGAACTCTCTCTGCTGCGTGCACCGGTTGAGCATATTTCAAAGACCCCTTAGAAAAGAAGCAGGCTGGAGGCTCACCTTCCATCTCGCCGCCGGGCTGGGCTGGAGCTGCTGCTCTGGATAACCAGCCGCTCCACGTGCTCCTGCCGTCGCCGGGACGCAGCGCGCAGCTGGCGGGAGATTCCCAGCGCGGGGAGTCCCCGGGATCCGGCCGCCGCGTCGGCGCAGATAGAAAGGGGCAGGAGCCAGCGACCGGACGGTGCGCGGGGTTACAGCGGCGCTGGCTGGCGGCGGCTTTAAAGGACGCTCACCGCCGAGGTATCTACCGCGCCTCCAGCAGCCTTTTGAATGTCAAAGCCGAGAACCCCAATAGGAAGGAAATGGCAAGACAGTAAATTGTCTCCAAATGTCTATTTTAGAAGGATAGTGGATAAGACAGTAATATCACATGGTGGGAAGGAGGATCTGGATTGCTTTCTTGCAAGTCTAAGTTCAAAGGAGGTTTGTCTTGAGCAAAATCTGCAACTTCTGGTCTAGATTCAGGGATGATAGCCATGAATGCCATCAATGAGCACTCCATTAAATATGTTTTTCTTCAACTTTTCATTTCACTTAATAAAAGTCCCTGATCCAAGTTTTCAGGAAGTTCTAAGACAGTTCTAAAGAGTGTTGGCACTTTAATCAACTCAACTTTTTCAACTGGAAGCAATATTCTCACTTTATTTTCCCTTTTGGAAACTGCTTGATTTGCCACCATTCACAGAACACTACACACTGTATTTATGTGTGTTTATTTTCTACTACCTTACCTTCTTCCAAACAGGATCTGAGACAGCTTACAAAAATACATATATAATGTATTAGTGCTAAGAGATTGGGGTGGGAAGGGGAAGATACACTAAGACAGTAAAATTGACTCAAAGATGTTAGTTGTACACAGAGTGAACATCTTTTCCCAACATCCTTCCCACGTTATAGAGATCAAGCACACATTTGACTATAGGGAGAGGGAAGGGGAAGTGAACACATAATTTTTACAAAACAGAATTTTTCTTCACACTGAGGTTGAAGGGACATTGTTCAGGTGAATCCTCTTAAAGTTACCCAGTATGTTAAATATGTAAATGATTCTCAAAAAGACCATTTTTGCCTTTGTGAGAGACGTATGTTGTTGGTATATACAAGTATATTTGAGACTTAACGTTGGGAGTTCATGCATCAGAAGGCCATACCAGAGTAAACCCGCTCTTATCAAGTTAAAGAATACATATTGTAATTTTATGAATTTTAGTTTATTTTAAATATGCCTTGGTATAGGAGATATATATATATATATAGATATAGGTATATAATTTTTAAATGAGTTAATAACTTGTAATGGTTTTGTTTTACCATTATGGCACCATGACAGCATCTCTATAACTTGTATGGGTTGGAGTTCTACAGGATAATAACAATTTCGGAGAAATACTCTAAACACTAGGTCTAATTTTAGTATCGAAAGGGGAAATTTGTTGTTTGTTAGTTTCTAAAGGCAAAAATAGCACATCAAAAGTAGCAGAAGAGGAACTGTAAAATTTCACAGGGATGGTGTAAGGATGAATAGTTATTTGGTTATTAAAAGTTTTAGAAGGTGTTTAGCTTCCATTACAATGTTCTTTATACTTATCAATGGAATGTGTTACTACTCTGTGAATAATTAGCTCAGTATTGAGTATTTCAGACTCAAAAACGTGATACTTAATGGGATAGATCAAAAGTAAGTGGGTAAAATAATTCATGCAGCTATTTCACCCTCAAGGAGGTAGAGCATAAATCCCCACTCCTTAAGTGCAATTCACTTCTGCGTGTTTCTAGTGGCCTAGTGATTAGGATTCTGGGCTTTCACTGCCATGCCTAGGTTCAATCCCTGGTCAGGGAACTGAGATCCCACAAGCCACACAAAGGACCCCACCCCCCAAAAAAGGTTTTTTTTAAAAAATGAGTGGGATTCACATAGTGACATCCTTCCAAAGATTACAGTATCAAAAGGTATTTATATCACAGAAACCAGACAAATACTACCTCAGGCAGATGATCAAGTTAACAACAACAATGATATAAGGCATGTGACAGTATGTGCCAGTGATATATACTTGAATATGGTACTTCACCTCCATAGCCTTCCATCCATAAACCCTAACCTAGAGGGTTAACTTAGACTGGTTAAGCTCCAGTCTAACCTAGAGGCATTCTGCAAAGGGCCTGACCAATTCAGATCAAGTCAATGTCATCTCAAAACTCATTAACTGTCAAGGTCATCAAAACCAAGAAATGTCTGAGAAACTGTCACCACTAAGGAGACTTGATGACTAAATATAACAAGGGATCCTGATTGGGATCCTGGAGCAGAAAAACGCCATTAGGTAAAAACAAAGGAAATCTGAATCAAGTATGAACTTTATTTAATAAGGTATCAATATTGGTCATTACTTGTGAGAAAGATACCATAACAAATGTAAGGTGTTAATTGTCAGGAAATAAGAAATACACGAGAACTTGGTACTATCTTCACAATTTTTTTGTAAATCTAAAACTATTCTAAAATTGTTTTTTTTTAAAGGGTAGATGGATTCTTTGAACAAATCACTACTCATTTGGTTAAGTCTCTTCTTATACTATTCAAAGTTGATCAAAGGGTTTACAAGGATCAATTACTTGTAACTGGGAAGCTAATAAAACACTGTGGATTTAATGATAAACTTCCAGGGAATCAGAGATAATGCCTAAATTTGTCTTCATTATCATTACTTTCAGAAGGTAACAGTTGAGACTAAACCATGAATCTAGACTTGGTAACTGACAAGGGTGGATCTGACTCACTAAATCACATTTCATGGCTTATGCTATGTAGGTAAAATTAACAGTGACTAAAACTGAAATCACTGACAAAGGCTGCTCCTGGACCATATGAGATAGTCCAAGTACTGACTCGGCTCAAAGGAAATAAAACCGAAAACTCTTGATCTCACCCCCAAATAATCATTCTGCACCCTGTCTGAACCTTGGGCTCTCTACCCACCAGCCTACTCAAAACCACGACTGAGGGTGTCCCGCTGCTAAGAAACAGACAATACACAGGGCTTTCCAGGCCACTAAATGAGTAGCCAAGAAGGAACCATGAAAGACACTAGCCTGGTCTCTTTTGGAGCTCGCTGATCTTGACTGAGCATCCACCCTGCAAAAAAAGCATTTGGAGATCTTGCCTTTCAACTGGGCCCGTGTTAAAGCAGGCTTACTTCACAACCCTGGATACATTTGCAAGTGGAGTCTCTCAACATCGTATGATACTGGAAGTTGAAAATGAAGGTTAAACAAAAGGCCTAGAGACGCCTCGTTGGTGCACTAGTTCTTCAGGTTCTTCATTCTGTGGGTTAGAACACAGTTGGGTGAAAACTGGAAGTTAAGAATTTGATAAAGATTGTGCACACAGTTCCAGACAATTCATAAGAAAGGCATAGGGAATTCACACGCAGGGCTCTCTGCTTCCTGTTAAGTGGAAGCTTCTCTTTCCTCAGACCTAGTGTAATCTCATCCCCTATCCGCCCTATCCCATTGTGCCCACCGTGTTCCTCTCGTCGATCTCTTCAGCTCCTAGACTAAGGAAATGACTAAAACGCCAAGGCTTTTCTTCTCTCACCGACTGCCCAGAGAACTAAGCGGACAAGAGCGCGAGAAAATGGCGCCAGACTCGAGGCGCGAAGCACCGGAAGCATCCACATGACGGCGACCGCGTGCGCGCGAGGGGCGGGGCGCTCGCCTCCCGTGCACCTGCCAGGGCCCGGCCCTCTGCACACGCCCCGCCCCCAGCCCCACCCACGCGCGACAGGCCGCGGAGCACGCTCGCGCTCTCCTGCGCGTCCTCTCCCTTTGTAGCTACGCACGGTAGGGGAGCGGACCCTGGCGGTTTGCTCCGCTCGGTGGAGGAGAGATGGGGAGGCGTGGCGCTGGGGCTGAGGTAGGAAGGAGCCCGCCCCTCGACGCCTAACCCTCCCGCGACGCTAGCCCCTGAGCCGTGATGCGAGCGTGGGTCCTACTCTCCGCGGTGCTCTGGTACCTCACAGGAGGTGGGGCTCCTCCCGCCCGGCCCCTAGGCTTCCCGCAGCTTCCCGGTCCAGCCTCCCCGCTTTGCCCCGCCCCGCCCCAGTCTGAGCTCCGGCTCCTCTTCCATTTGGTCAGTGGTTTTTTTTCCCTCCGCAGTTGGATGGCAGCGTAATTCCGAACGCACTGAGAAAGGCTTCATTTATGGCAAGCCGGGACACCCAGGTAATGAGGATCTCTTCACCCGCAGAGTCCATCCGAAGAGCCGGGGGCCCCGTGTCTCTGCTGAGGTTTTTTCCCGAACAGGGAAATGGAGCAAAAGTTTATAGAACGTCAACTGTGTGCTCTGCACTTCCTGGAGGTTGTTGCATCGTTTCATCCTTAGAGCGACGCCACTGCGCCTCAGTTGCGTAAAGAAGAATCTTGCCTAAAGAAGCACGGCTCGTGAGGAGCTAAGATTCAATTTATAGGTCTTTTTCTGATACCACCTCTCTTCAGGATGTCCCTGCTGCTTTGCAACCTGCGAGGCCAGCTCAGAGGAGTGATTCCCCGGGCTGGAAGTCCCTCTGTTTGGAATGTCCTTATCCCTTCATTAACTAGAACCCCTACACGTCATTTCCGGCTCAGCTCAAATGTCATTTGTCCCTGGATAAAACTTTCACACACTCCCCAAGGAAAATTAGTCATACGGCTAACTTTAGATGACTTTGGGCCGGTTCGTAGCGTTGGTTAGATTTGGAATCGCTCCGTTTTTGGAGCCCCTCCCCCTGCGTGCCACCACCGAATTGTGGTACAGTATCTTCTTTATAGGTTCAGAGCCTGGTGTTCAGCAGGCTTTAAAATTAGTATCTTGTGGGACAGTATTGTTCCAAGCACGTTGTTGCTGCTTCCATCAAATCCGAAATAGACTAGGAATTGCAGAAAATCTTCCTTATGTGTCCCACATAGACTGAATTATTGTTCCTAACAGAGGACACTTAGAGCTAAATATCACATTTGCCTTGGGGATGATAATGATCATCTTTAAAATAGTTTTGCAAGCAAACAGATCCTTTTCTGATCTTTAAATTGATTCTACCATCGCTTCAATTTTTTTTATTCTAGTTCTGAATCTGTACACTAAAATGTGTATTATGTACATTATTATAAATACTATACTATCACAGAAAAAAAATAATGACTCTCAGCTAGTCTAGAGTTTTAAAAGTCTATGAGAAGTAAAAAGGACTTTAGTTTTACAAATGTTATAATGATATGCTGATTTTTAAAACCGTTAAATACAAAGAGAACTAATCAAAGTAACTTTGGGACACAATGGTAGAAAGTGTGTTAAATTTTGCTATAAAATGTAGTTATATACTGTTTTATTTTGTCATAGTGAAAGTGTATGTAAAATTACATCACAACAGCCCAGTCCTTGTCTGTATGGACTTTAAACTCGCTGAAAAAGAAACGGTGGACCCCACCTACTTATGGGTTGGGCCTAATGAAAAGCCATTAACAGGTAAGTTATTTGATTTTAATATCTTCTTTTTTTAATGATGCAAACTTTTAGAAAAGCACTATTATTTATGAGAATGAAAAAGTTGTAATTTACTTTTAACTGCAGTTTCACTTACTCAGTATTTAGACAATCATAACCTAGTCTGTACCTTATTTTCTTCTTATGCAAAAAACTGAAGCAATAATTTTTGTACCTTTCCTCCCAAAGCCTTATTAGTTCAGAAGTTTTTATAAAACCTAAAATTTATCTTTGCATTATCTGTGATAGGAAATGAGGTAACTAATTTGTAATTTTTCATGACATTAGAAGGGTGTCTTAGAATGTAAGGATTATTAATTTCTGTCTTATGTGAAGAAATTGCATTGTACTATAAGGTACTATAATCTCATTTACTGAATTACTGGTATAAATCAATTGAAATTAGATGCCAAGAATTGAATTAAAGAAAACCAAAATATATTTCAAAAGTATACTTATGTGGTTTTCCATTGACTAATACAGCAGAATTAAGACTTTGTTGAATTCTTGAAGTTAAAATTGTCTATTAATTTATAAATTTTTGTATGTATTTGTAACCCCAAGTTTACTAAATAGTGTTTGAATTGTTACATGTTAAATAACCAACTCATTTACTCTTTCTGTTTAGGAAGTAATAGAATAAATATAACTAATACAGGAAAGCTGACAGTGAAAGACTTTCTGGAGCCTTTGTCTGGACTTTATACATGCAGTTTTTCTTATAAGACTATCAAAGCAGAAACCCAAGAAGAAAAGGTAGTAAAGCAGAGATATGACTTTATGATTTTTGGTAAGAATATAGGCACATTTTCACTTATACATTTTGTTTGGATAAGAATCAAGTATATGATTTCTTCATTTAGTGTAAATGAATCTGTTATATATAATTGGTATGGCTTGTAGAGTATTTTAAATGTGGCTGGTTCCAAATAGGAAAAGGAGTATGTCAAGGCTGTATATTGTCACCCTGCTTATTTAACTTATATGCAGAGTACATCATGAGAAACGCTGGGCTGGAAGAAGCACAAGCTGGAATCAAGATTGCNTTCATGGGATCGCAAAGAGTCGGACACAACTGAGCGACTGAACTGAATTGAAATGTGACCAAGGAACCTCAAATTGGCATCAAAATAGTGTGTCCTAAATAATCCTCTTTCAGCCTCCCACTTCTCACTGTATAGATATGCAGGCACAATCTGCATTATCACAGTTTTGCTAGGTAATTTAAAAATTGATGTTTAATTCCATAAAAGCAAATTAATGATCCTTTTCACTGTACTGTGCTAACACCCGTGATACTTCTATAAACTAAGACTCTCCCCACCAGAATCTTATTTTTTTCTTGATACTTTAAATTACATATATAGGGCACCCACAAAACCTATCTCTTCTCTTGTACTGAGTAGATAATGTATCAGACAAAATAACCTTTTTCATTAAAGTCATTAGTTTTACATCTTTTCATGAGGACAAATTGTTAAAACATTTTGTGCTCAGTTGTTCAGTCATGTCTGACCCTTGGACATCCCATTGACTGTAGCCCACCAGGCTCCTCTGTCCATGGGATTCTCTAGGCAAGAATACTGGAGTGGGTTGCCATTTCCTTCTCCAGGGGAATCTTCCTTACCCAGGGATCAGACCTGCGTCTTCTTGTGTCTCCCACATTGGCCACTCCTGCACTGTGCCACCTGAGAAGCTCTTAAAACATTTTATTAGATAAATTAAGTTTCTGTGGTGGATTGCAAGATTGATGGTATTTAATATTACATGTTATTTGGAAATTTATGCTAGGCACAATTGTTTTATTCTCATCTTTTTTTTTTAAAGCCTATCGGGAACCTGACTATTCATATCAGATGGCTGTACGTTTTACCACAAAATCTTGTGTAGGAAAATACAATGATCTGCTTTTTCGAGTCCTGAAGAAAATCTTGGATAATTTAATCTTTGATTTGTCATGCCATATAATAGAACCATCATATAAATGCCATTTTGTTAAAGTTCCAAAACATGGCCTCATTCATGAGCTATTTATAGCCTTTCAAGGTAAAAATTTTTAATATTCTTTAAATTTATGAGTTTAATCTTATTACAGAATTAATTGCCATATTAACATGAGAAATAAGTAGTAGGCTTTAAATGCTTGTTAGGGACTAAAATATGTTGTTGTTCTTAGCCTGACTGTGGTTTTAAAAATTGACACATTAATTATTTGCCTTGCCTATTTTTGAGAAGTCAATAGCATTTTATAAATATGGCCTTTAACTATGCAGCTAATATTTAAGTTATAACTTCCTATAGAATTTTAAATTGTATTTTTGAGAACTTAACAAAAGGGGGAAACCAAACCAAATTTATTTCTATTCATTTTAAAGCCTTGTAGTTACCTCCATTAGCCCCCAGATGGAGTGAAATCATAATGTATAAATTATTCAAATTGCACACCTTTCTAGGATTACATAAATTAAACACCTGCACACATGTATACTGAATTCAGCATTTGGAACTTTATTGGAATGTTTGGAACTTTTTGGAATCGTTTTGTGAAGATGTCATTTTTCCTCCCCTCCAGTTAATCCTTTTGCACCAGGGTGGAAAGGTACATGCAATGAGTCTATTGACTGTGAAGATACCACTAATCGTAATATCCTCCAGGTGAGAATTTCAGTGTAGGGGGAATGTATTTGAATAGTAAACAAAGCTGTTTAAAATGTAAGCATGAAATATTACTGATATTGGTTTCAGTTTTATAAACTGAGATTGTGAAAGTCTTAGCTATTTTAAAATGTTTTGTCTTGGAATAGTATGTTTGGAATATTATATAACTCCCCGGGTTAATATTATGTATTTTTCCTGTGATAGAAGAAGGATGGATCACTGGTCTTTGTTCTCCAAATGTAACCAAGCAGCAGCTTGAAAAACAGCCTTACAGGGCTTCCCTGGTGGCTCACTGGTAAAGAATTCACCTGCCAATAGTGGAGACAGAGGGTTGATCCTTGATCCAGGAAGACCCCCACATGCTGTGGAGCAACTAGGCCTCTGCACCACAGTTGCTGAGCCTGTGCTCTAGAGCTTAGGAGCCGCAACTACTTAGCTCACTTGCTGCAACTACTGGAGCCCGTGCGCCCTCGAGCCCAAGCACCGCAACAAGACAAGCCGCCACAATGAGAAACCCATGCCCTGCAACTAGAGAGGAGCCTCCACTCTCTGCAGCTGGAGAAAAGACTGCCCAGCAATGAGGACCCGGCACAGCCAAAAATAAATTCATTCATTTTAAAAAATGAAAACAGCCTTATAAAAACTAATAAATAATGAACAGCCTTATAATCATGTCATTCTAGGTTAAAACATTGGTTTTTCCAAAACTGTGTCTTTACTGATCATAATAGTTGCTCTCTCCTCTGCCTTATTTGAGGCTCAGGGCATAGTCTAAAAAAATACCTTCATTCTCCTCCTCTAGTCCCTAAGTCCATACCCTTAACATTGTGCATGGTTTATGGGTTATTATTAGTTACTATTTAAGCCCTGTGCTCAAAAAATAAAATTTACACCATTAGTCTGTAATGCTAATTAAAGTTTTGGTTTCCATCTTGCTTGGCTCCTTAGAGTTAGAAACAATCAACTCCCAGTTATCTACATATGGAATAGACATGCTGCAAATAATTCAAAACAAGTGCTTTTTAACCTCATTTTAATTCTTAACTGTTGTACATAAAAATTGACAATAATTGATAAGTTCAGGCTAAACTAATTTTGGTATTAACATGCAACTTTTCAGGAATTCATCTGTTGTGTAAAGCAGGGGCATGCTTGTTACATTTCATTGCCTCTGATATAGGAGAAGAAATTTGGTTCACAGTTTAGTAATTATACTTCTCTCTGGTGTTTTAAAATCTTAGGCAAGAGATCGAATAGAAGAATTTTTCCGGAGCCAAGCATATATTTTCAACCATGATCTAAATAAAACTCTACCAGCCATGCATTTTGTGGATCACAGTTTTCAAATAGTACGTATGGATAGCTGTCGTCCAGGCTTTGGAAAAAATGAAGGTCTACACAGCAATTGCGCTACCTGTTGTGGTAATTATAAAATACATGTATCTAGTTATTTAGGTTATCTAGTCAGAATTCTCTTAGCATAATTGAATTGAATATTTATAGTGATTTTCTTACCAAAGAAATGTATTTAGTTAAAGGGAAGTAAAAATTCGAAGCTCAAATTTCTAAACATAGTTATCTTCATGTATATTAATTCTACCTAGTATAATCTTTTGTATTACAAAATATCTCTATAGTGTTCTGACTTGAGATACTATACTATGAAAGGAAACAAAATGGTCCTGCCTAGAAATTAGAAATAGGAACTAGAAAACAAGAAATAGGAACTCATAAATGGAGCAATGCAGAAGTTACTGGAAGATGCTATTAAAGGAAAAAGTAGCTTTCTTTTACAGTGCTATCTAAGGTCATCAGATAACAATATTTCAAACTCATAAATGGGGAGTTCCCTGGCAGTCCAGTGGTTAGGACTCCACTTTGACTGCCATGGCTCCAGGTTTAATCCGTGGCTGGGGAACTAAGATCCTGCAACCTGCTCAGCGGAGCCAAGAAAAAAAAAACTCATAAATAATCTTCCACAGTATAATTGGTTGCACATTACTGGTAGTAGAACATAGATATAGAATGTCAGTGGTGTGACATTGATGGCAATTTGTATTATTGGTATAAAATACCTTTAACTGAAATTATAATAATCTACTCCATTGTATTTTCCTCTGCAGTGGTTTGTAGTCCTGGGACTTTTAGTCCTGATGTTGATGTTACATGTCAGACCTGCATTTCCGTCCAAATCTACGGAGCTAAATCATGCCAGTAAATTTCAACATGAAGACTAGGGGTGAAAGCATCATTACTTGCTTGTGGAGGTGGAGGACATAAGATGATTTGTTCACATCCCAAAGTGTCATAGATATTTTTATTAAGGAAGATCAGTAAGACCTAAACATTGGAAAACATACATTTTAAAAACCATAAAAAGATAGTCAACATGGTATTTCTAAGAAGGCATTTAATCTCAGTGGATGATTTTTAATGAAATATGTTTTGTTGCTTACAAACAATCTTGTTTCTTTGTACCTAAAACTATGTTAAGGTCAAGAAGAGTAGGCAAGTATAATATAATAAAATTTTATACTTTCCATATATTAATTTGTTTGATATCACTCATATGATCTATCATAATACATTACCTTTATAATTAGAACCAAAAAAGTTGTTTCTTTTAGTCTCTTTGCTTTTAGTCTATTTATTTTAGAATAACAGGCTTTATTTTTTAGTATAGTTTTAGGGTTGCAGAAAAATTGAGCAGCTATTACAGAGTTCCATATACCCGCTTCAGCCCACACCCTCACCCCTCCCAAGTTTCCCCTATTAGTATCATCTTGCATTATCGTGATACATTTGTTATCATTAATGGACCAATGTTGATACATTATTATTAACTACAGTTAATAGTTTATATTAAGGTTCATTCTGCATGTCGTACAGTTCTGTGGGTTTTGACAAGTGCATATTGATGTGTCCACCCCTACAGTTCATACAGAATAGTTTCACCACCCTTAAAATGCCCTGTGTTTAATCTGTTCTTCTCTCTCTCTTACCCCACAGTCCTTGACAACCACTAATCTTGTTACTGTCTCTACAGTTTTGCCTTTCCCAAAGTGGATTAAACTTGGAACCATACAGTATGTAGACTTTCCAGACTGGCTTCTTTCACTTACCAATATTCATTTAAGATTCCTCCATGTCACTGTATGGCTTTGATAGAGCATTTTTTTATTGCTGACTAATATTCCATATCATGGGTGTATAAAGGACATCTTGATTGCTCCCAGCTTTTGATGATTATGAATAAAATTGCTATAAATATTTGTGTACAGGTTTTTGTATGGACATGAGTTTTCAAATCAATGGCGTAAATACCTAGGAGCATGATTTCTGGGTTGTGTGGTAAGATAATGTCTAGTTTTGTAAGAAATTTCCAACCTGTGTTCCAAATTGGTTTACCATTTTACATTCCTACCACAATGGATGTGTTTCTTGTTCCTCATCTTCACCAGCTTTTGGTATTTTAAGTTTTTTTTTTTTTTTTGGGCTATTCTATTAGGTATGTAGTGATAGTTCGTTACTGTTTTAATTTTAAATCCCGTAATGTCTGTGCATTATTTCATGTGTTTATTTGCCATCTGTGTATCTGTCATTTAGATCTTTCTCCTTGTTTTTATTGAATTTTTCACTCATATTGTTGAGTTCCAAGAGTTCTTTGTATATTTTAGATACAAATTCTTATCAGATATGTGTTTTGCAAATATTTTCTCCAATTTTGTGGTTTGTCTCTTCTTCTCACAATGTCTTTCGCTGAGCAGAAGTTTTTAAGTTTAGTAAAATCCAGTTTACCAATTTTGGGCTTCCCTAGTAGCTCACTGGTAAAGAATCCCCCTGCCAATGCAGGAGACACTGGTTCAGCCCCTAGTCTGGGAAGATCCTACGTGCTGTGGAGCAACTAAGTGCATGCACCCCAACTACTGAGCCTGTGCTCCAGAGCCCAGGGACCTGCAACTGCTGAGCCCTCGCGCTGCACCCACAGAAGCCTGTGCGCCCTGGAGCCCACGTTCAGCAACAGGAGAAGCTGCTGCAGTGAGAAGCCTACACACTGCAACCGGAGAGCAGCCCCCGCTCGCCACAACTAGAAGAAAGCCTGGGCAACAAGGAAGACCCAGTGTAGCCAAAGATAAATAAAATTATAGTTTACCAGTACTTTTCCATGGATCACGCTTTTTATGTCTACAAACTCATCACCAAGCCCAGAGTCATGTAGTTTGCTCCTGTTGTATTCAAGAAGTTATTTAGTTTCATGATTTACATTTAGTCTAAGATGAATTAGTTTTTGTGAAAAATGTAAGTTGTATGTTTAGATGATTTTTTTTTTTTTTTTTTGCCTATGGATGGTTCCAGCACCATTTGTTGAAAAGACTGTCCTTCCTCCATTGAACTGCCTTTGCTCCTTTGCCAAAGGTCAGTTGACTACATTTGTGTGGGTCTATGTCTGGGTTCCCTATTTATTAATTCATGTAATCTTTCCTCAGTATGGTACTACCTTGATTACTGTATAGTAAGGCTTACATTTGGTTGGTATCAGTCCCCTGACTTAGTTCTTCTTCAGTATGGTGTTAGTTATCCTGGGTCTTTTGCCTTTTTATATAAACTTTTAAAAAAATTTATTATTTGACTGTGCTGGATCTTCATTGCTTCACACAGGTTTTCTCTAGTTGCAGTAAGTGGGGGCTGCTCGCCAGTTGTGATGCTTGGGCTTCTCATTCCCAAAGCATAGGCTCCAGGCACACAGGCTCAGTAGTTGTGGCACACAGGTGTAGTTGCTCTGTGGCTTGTAGGATCTTCTTGGACCAGGGGTTGAACCCCTGTCCCCTGCCTGGGCAGGTGGCTTCTTAACCACTGGACAACAAGGGAAATCTATGGTCTTGTATTTTTAATTTCAAATTCCAAGTGTTTAATTGCTGGTTATTTAGGAAGGCAATTAACTTTTGTATATTAACCTTACATCCTGTGATCTTTCTCTAATGCTATTAATTCCAGGAGGTTTTTTTGTAGATTCTTTGAGATTTTCTACTTAGACAACCATGTCATCTGCAAACAAAAGAGTTTTATTTCTTCCTTCCAATCTGTATATCTATTATTTCCTGATCTAGTCTTACTGTAATAGCTAGCACTTCCAGTATGACATTGAATAGTAACAGTGAGTGGGCACATCCTTGTCTTGTTTCTAATCTTAGAGAGAAAGCATCTAGTTTCTCACTATTACATGTGATGTTAGGTATAGTTTTTTTTTAATATATGTTTGTTGAGGAAGTTCTCTATTCCTCTATTTGATTGATACGATCATATGATATTTTCATCTTTAGTCTGTTGTTGTGATAGATAAATTGATTTTCAAATGTTGGAACTATTCTTCTATATTCAGAATAAATTGTTTTTAGCCATCACTTTAGTTCAGTGTTCAGTCGTGTCCGACTCTCTGTGACCCCATGGATTGCAGAATGCCAGGCCTCCCTATCCATCACCAACTCCCGGAGTTTACTCACTCATGTCCATTGAGCCGGTGATGCCATCCAACCATCTCATCCTCTGTCATCCCCTTCTCCTCCTGCCTTCAATCTTTCCCAGCATCAGGATGTTTTCCAGTGAGTCAGTTCTTTGCATCACGTGGCCAAAGTATTGGGCTTTCAGCTTCAACATCAGTCCTTTCAGTGAATATTCAGGACTGGTTTCCTTTAGGATTGACTGGTTTAATCTCCTTCAGTCCAAGGACTCTCAAAGAGTCTTCTCCAACACCACAGTTCAAAAGCATCAATTTTTAGTCATAATGTACAGTTATCTTATACATTGTTGAATTTGATTTGCTAATATTCTGTTGAGGAAATTTGCATTTATTTTATGAGACATATTAGTCTGCAGTTTTCCTTCCTTATGATATCATTATCTGTGTTTTAGTATTAGGGTTATTTTTTGTTAGTGTTAACATTGTAAGTATGTGTGCCAGTCGGGTCCAAACAGACAGAAAACATAAAGCATTTTGAACAGGGAAATTTTAATATAAAGAATTGTTAACCATAACGGGATTAGAATAATAAGGAATTGGATAATAAGATGTAGAGAACCCTAAAGACTCTGCTGCAAAACCACACAAGGAAGAAGGGCTGCTGGTGAAGCTGCTGGCCCCATGCACTGCAGGCTGCGGCCAGGGGAGACATGCACATGCTGCAGGGCCCTGTCAAGGGAACAACCTCCTGCTGTTTGATGGCAGCTCAGCTTGGCTTTTCCTTCCCTCTCCTTAGAAAATCCTGCAGTGTGTAGCCACTGCTCTTGGGTTTGTGAATTTCTTTTTTTTCCCTAAGCCAGAAAGCAGTTTTCTCTTTTATATTATGTTTTACATCCTCCAGTGCCCCTGTCCTCTTCAGGTTGCTGCTGTATTTGTTTCTTAACTGTGTTCACCGTTAGCAGGCTTCCCTTACCCCATAGTTCATGCATCTGATAAATGTTTCTGAGGCACTTCTTGATTTCCTCCTTCAGTTTCAGAAGCTTCTTCATCCCCTCAAAAGGAAGAACATAGATAAACTGACAGATTAGTATGATTACCTCTATGAGTAGAAATAATGTTAATAGTCAAAAGCAAAACCTGATCTCAAGAAACATTAATTTTTAGGTTACAGTAATGGGGAAAAACATATCACTACCAGGTTTGTGCAGGTGTCAGTGGCCTAGAGTGGAAGTTATTTTCTATCACAGCAGGCTTATTATTTCACCAATAACCCATTCCTCAGAATTGAAAATTAAGTAGCCAAAGAAAGAATTTTTGTAATTCCTACTGGGCCAGAGATTTTAACTATCACAAAGTAATATAACTTGCTCTTGCACAGTAATGAATTATGTAGGTCTGAAGGACCCTAAGGTTGCAGAAACATGATTGGTGCCAAAGTATGGTTGCCAAGTGGCAGTGTTTGTTTTGAAGACTGCTAGATATGTGAGTTGAAGATCCGTGAAGGATAAACGGATACAGTACTATCACTTTGGGTCATCCCAGGGTAACACATTGATACCTAGTATCAGAATCTGGAAACAAATAGACCACAGTGAGGGTATTTGGAAAACAAAGACGGTAAGGAAATTGGGAAGCAAAAAGAAAAAAAGTTTTGTGCTTTAAGCATAAAACTTGGACTGGAGAGCTCTAATTTCGGCACCTCGACCCTACCTCATTTCTGTGGGAGTTATTTGGAATGTGACTCAAGCAGAAGAAAGTCAACCAAATTTGTAAATGCAGAGGAAAGACGAAACTGAGGGTGGAGGTATATGTGTTTGCCTCCCTCTTCTTTCCTATGGCCCAGATGATGAAGTCTAATATCCAATCTCCAAAGCATCTTGCAAATTATGTCTCCCTTGAGTGACAGAAAGCAAGTGAGAAAGATGTCTACAGGTTACAATGGAAAGACCCTGGCTTTTCGATTCTAGTCCTGACTCATCATTTTGTATCTTGGCAAAGACCATTTTCTCATCCCTGCTGTGGGGAAATTAATACCAGATTCAGCCTCTCTTAAAATACAACTTTATATGAAACAGCTATGTAGATCATAAAACACCAACAGTTTTAAGGCTCTGTATTAGCTTTGTGATGGTGGTTGTTGCTCCGTCACTCCTTTGTGGGCCTGTGATAAACAATGAAGTAATTCCACACAGCTAGGAATCTAGAGCTTTCACCATAATTTGCATTATTGTTCTTCAGTCACTCAGTTGTGTCCGATTCTTTGTGACACCACGCACTGCAACACGCCAGGCTTCCGTGTCCTTCACCATCTCCCGGAGTTTGCTCGAACTCATGTCCATAGAGTCGGTGATGCCATCCAACCATCTCATCCTCTGTCGTCCCCTTCTCCTGCCTTCAATCTTTCCCAGCATCAGGGTCTTTTCCAATGAGTCAGCTTTTTGCATCAGGGGGCCAAAGTTTTGAAGCTTCAGCATCAGTCCTTCCAATGAATATTCAGGGTTGATTTCCTTTAGCATTGACTGGTAATTTGCATACATTCTATCAATAAGCTTTTATTTACTACAGGTCCAGTGTTCAGTAGTCTTGGTCTCTATCACCAGGGAGGGCACAAACCAGTGTCTGAGACAAAAAAGCACTGCAATTAAGTGCCGTTGTGACTTAGATAGCAGTTGTGTCCTTTGGATGTTTAGGTGGTAGATTTGAGGGAAGATTTCAGAAGACAGGAAGAGGAAGGATTATACTGCCTCAACACACAAAAAGCTTAAAATGAAACAAGCATCACCATTCTCTTTTTTTTTCACCACTGTTACTGTGAAATATAACATGCATACAGAAAAGTGCATTAAACACTAATTTACTGTTTAACATAATTATCAAATAAACATCTGAACTACCCACCTCCCAGTGAAGAAATAAAATATTTCTACCATCCTCGAAACCCACCCCTTTCCCATGTGCCTGTCCCTGATCTTATCATCCCTCCTCCAAAGAGGATGAATGATAATAATTATTTCCTGCCTTTTCTTAGAGTTTTACCACCAAAGTTGGATCCCTAAACTGTAAAGTTTCTCTGTGTTTGAACATAATGGAATCATAATGTATATACTCCTTTGTGCCTTGATTCTTTCTGAAGATTACTCTCACATAGAATTAGTTCATTTATACTCATTGCTGTATAGTATACCCATTATATAAATATACCACAGTTTGTTTATCCATTCTATTCTTGGGGAACACTCAAGTTGTTTCTGGTTTTGACTGTTACAACATCCTACTAAGTAAAATTCTTTAAAGTATATACCATGTGATGCATATGTGCACAAGTTTTTCTAGAGTTTATACCTAGCAGTCAAACTTGGGGGTTAAAGGGTATGTCA